AGAATTTTTGCCTGTCTTTTGCAAATTTTCCCCAAAACTCTTATTCAGTTACCTCTCCCAAATCAAATGCTCATCTTCACAGATAAAGAACAAAACCTAAGATATAAGTTTCTCTCAAATGGTATTTTATGACTTTGAAAATCCCACTTGTTTCAATAACAGCAACAGTAATGGCAAGCTCTTCCTCCCCAACACTGTGTAACTGATTTTATTCTTTTTAAGCTTTTCAAAACCCAGCACAGTGACACTTGTTCATTCAGAAGAAATCAAGTAAGAAAAGTAGGATTATACTCAGATGGGCATATACTCATCTCATGTTCAAAGAAATGCTCTGGAAGATTTGAGTATTTTCTGAAATATTAAGCATTTTATGGTCGAAGAAATGTACTTCTCCCAGTTATTTCTCATTCTAGGAATAGTTTATTCGTTTCTGCAATGCCTTTGCACCCTCTAATGGTCAACTGAGGATTTTCTTCATTGGGAGCAATTTATTCAAAGTATTCATAGGTTTCATTTTGTAAATTTGAATTTTCATTAGAATAATGATATTTACACACTTTACACCTATAACTCTGTGATTGCATAATCCCAAATATTAATTGCAGCTCACACCTCTTCACATTGTTGAGAAATTCGAATTATATAAAGTTGAAGCTACTATCAAAATGATTAGGAAACACTCCATATTTTCCAATTATGTCTGACATATTAACAAGCTAATAAGAATTTAAGATTCTGCCTCCTAGGCACAAAACAATTCAACAGGAAGGCCATCATTGGTATCACAGATCTTATTTCCTGACACTGGTATGATGAAATCAACATAGAGTCTGTTTGTACCTGTTTATGCAAGGCACAAAAATGAATTCTAGTCTAGTACGATATCCTCAAAAGAACAGCAATAATGAGGGGTTTTTTTTAAGGATCAATAGGAAGATTAAACACACATGCACACAATTTATATTTTAACTGACTCATGTTCTCACAGAAACATTAAATTCAACTGACCCAGAGATCTTTTAAAAACTAATGACCACTTGTTACCTTTCTAATTGGTTTGACCCCATAATAAAAGCAATTGCTTATTCCCTTTTCTGATAGAAAAATCTCCTTTTATCACTTAAAGCTTTACATTTATAAAATATTTAGGAAAACTGTGAGAAGTTTGAATGCCAAGCTTTGTTTCTGAGTTCATGCTGCTGACAATACAAAGGACACCTGCTTTGTGACAGAAAAACAACTGATCAAACTGAAAAGATGTCAAAAGAATTACTGTTTAAGCTGTTACATTTTCAAGTAATTTTTTCCTTTCCAAGATGATGCTACATCTCTTAAGATACTTTTAACTTGAAGAGAAATGCAACCTGAGCCCTCTCTGGATTTTTAATTCCTAAACTATATTACATTCATATTTTATCAGAAAAGCACTCAGAACCTCTCCATGTATCTGCACATCAATAATTTTGGTTTCAAAGTGCAATCTGTCATTAAGAGCACAGAGCCTTAAGCAACAGTACTACAAATCCCATATAGCTGAATAATATCTGAAGAGACAGAAAATGCAATGTCATCAAGTTGAAATAAGATCTTACATAGGATGATGCTCTGAGTATTTAAGGGTTCCATCCATTCCCAATTTACAAGTAAAACTTAAATGTAAAATTGTGTGTAGCCTACCTATGAATGCAGTTAGCGCTAGAGCAAACAAAATGGTACTTACAAAGATCACCAACCCCTTGGGTTCTACAGATCTAAGAACACTAAGAACATTATCAGCTCCAAAAATATTCTTCATTGACAATTATACTTTTGAAAAATCTAAACTCCTAAAAGCCATCTCTCTTACAGTATAACATATGTATTACGTTATATATACTCCATAAACTCCATAAACTGAATATATACTCCATAAACTCATACATACTCCATAAACTGAATAACTGATATGAAGCTGCCAAATAAACACTATCAGTATCTCACCTTGAATACATGCTTCCACAGTAATTATCACTGACAAGCAAAATCTATTGTGTAATTATGTGTATACTTATCAAGAAACTGTGTATGCTTTGCTAGTGGGCACTACAAGTAACTACTGGTAAACTATATCCTGTCAAATATATCCCACAAAAGTTGTGCAAATACTTGATGGAGTAAAACTCACAGTAATTTTAACTTACAATTTTAAATCATTCAAGTGTATCTTCAAAGATATAAAACTATTAAATCCATTTGCATCAACAGAGTAACCCAGCAGTCTTAGCCTACTTACCATAAAATTGTAGATCCTTTGAAATGAATCATGCAACTCTACTTCTTACTTCTTCAGCTCTTCACCTTTTCACATCTCAGTGACTCCACAGTTAGCTTCCCTTATCAGAAGTAATTCTCTTACTGAAGTACATGCATTGGAACTTACGAAATGGTAACTACTGTAAACTATTTGCTTGAATGACTGCTAGTCCTAATAGATTACCATACAAATTTCCTGAAGCCAGAAACTGAGTTGATTCATTTTTTTTATATCTGTACTACTACTAGTAGGAGGTGAAGGAAAATGATGCTTTTGAGATTTAAAATATCATTACGGAAACTTGTGCTTTAATCCTAGATTCAACAATTTAGCTTTCCAACTTCCTCATATGTAGATGATGAATAAAACACCTTCTAAGTGTCTTATGAAATTGAAATATATTTAAAAGGTAACTAACCCAGTGCCTGATATACAGAAGGCACTATATGTACTCAATAAATGTTAGTTGAATTTATTTTTCATGATAGTTCTTTCCATTTCTATGTTAACTCAGCAGACTTTCAGAATTCTCAAAATTCAGATTATTATCTTATTCTTTTTTTAACTCTTTATCATATGTTGTAATTTAAAGATAACCATAGCTATAAAAATAATAAATGTAACTGTGTATTCAGGCAACATAGGCGTTTGAAAATATTACATTCAATTTTTCCCAGAAATAAAACAGAAAAGTATCTTCCAAAAGGGACACTGGAGTTCAGGCATTCAATTTTGTTTTCTCTCCTATTTCTCATCAAAATGAAAAAAAAGAACCGTTCACTATTTATAAGACTAAGAATAATGGATGTGCATAATGTTGCCTTCACATATGTTTCTGCCTTTTAAACCCAGTTTAAACTCAGGGAAAAGCCAAGAACACACACATAATTATGCAGAAAAAAGATGCTTTAACTGCAGTGCACATTCGGTAGACAAAATCCAAAGAAAGTAGGCTGGCTGAAACATTTACAAATCAATTCATTATATCGATTTGGAATGAGTTGTGCTGTAATTTAAAACACAGATTACTACAGGACAAACTTGATAAAATTCTATCTCTAAGGCACTTCTACTTGCCCATACACTTGACCTGAGAATTTTCCAGTAAAAGTAATTTGCCTAACTTTATTAAACTGTATGTAAATATTAGGTTGTACTGGAGTAATAATAATAATCATAAATTTCCGAAAAATGGAATTTGCTTTGACCTAACCAATAGCTTCCATAAACCACTGATAGCTTATTAAGAACAGGCAATATGTTTCTATTTCAAAAGATGATTTATCCCCCACACAATGTATGGCCTGTTTCCATATCACTTCTAAATGCAATGTAACCCTTGAAGAAAAATTCAAGGTTTCTTTCTGTGTTGTTTGTTTTTCATGGATAAAGCTGTCCCTTGGGAAATCTGTAATTATGCTTAAGAGTCCTTTTAACCTATTCTGATTTCCTGATGATCTGCTGTTTTATCTTAATGTAATTTATAAATGTTTAGCATTTTTTCTGCTTACAATGATAAACTATAGAGACAATAATATCTGCCACTACACAGAATATCTCTTGTAAAACACTGCACATGGTCACACTCACCAAATTTTAATTACTCATCAAACAAATCTAGGCATGAGGTTAACCAGTTAGAGAAATGGCCAAAATATATTTTTTTGAAAAAGATAGAGTACTTTTCCATCATTTTCTTCATAACAAAATACAGAACCTAGTGAATCCAGGAGTCCCGAGAGTGCAATTACGTAAAATAATAATCTACAGTTGAGTCATTCCTGAGCCTGTCTGAGAATCAAGTCCAAATGTAACAAGGTCCTTTCATACCATTATGTGTCTCCTTCAGGGAAATCTCTTTTGGACTTCAGTTTGTTCATCTTAGCAATGATCCCATTAAACTACACAATCTCTCAATTCTATTCTAATTTTAATTATTCTGTGTTTTTAATAAGTTCAATAATTATATTGATAATAGAAATCAACTAATCTGCTGTTATCTGCTATCTAGAAGAACACATAAATAAATCCTATGTAAGTTATTCAAACACAGACAGAACTGTTCCAATTCAAGCAACTTAAGCAGTTTTTGATGTATCATACTTATCAACATTCCATGAGACAAAAATTGTGAACATTAAATAGAATACCTCAATGAAAAGAAAAGTTCCTTTTTCTCCAGGTTTCTTTTCTTTAAAATGAAAGAAGGATTACAAGAAAATTACGGCCCACAGAGCAAATTATAACAAAAGAGAATTTTAAAAATTATTTTACTAAAGGTCAAGAGCAGTTTAAACTTTCTAAAACTTATTACCCTATTGAATGAGAGTTCTGTTTTAATGTAGCTTTTTTGAAGTTTGCTACAAAATTTAAAAATCATTACTTTTCATCAATAGAAATAAATATTACTGTGATATTTTTCCTTAAATTTTTAATAGGATGTAAACTAAACTTTCTAACAGAAAGTATTTAGACTTTTTTTTCAGATTATAAAATAAGCAAGAAACAAAGGCAAAACAAATTGGCTATTCTCAGTTATGTGCTTGATCCCACAATTAAAACAAAATTCAAGGTCTAAATCAATATTTTAAAATACATTTGTCTTATAACTTTCAACTGTTTCTTTCCTAAAATACTGCTTGAATTATAATTAATTGGAGACGCGTAAGTCTTTATTTAAAGACTCTTTACTGACAGTTCTACTCACTCAGATTGGAAAGATGCTCCTCTCCAGGCTGATTAGTTCCCAAAAGCACAACCTTTGCTAACAATGCCACCTGCTGTTGACTCTAAGTCATTTTCCAGCTACAGAAATGGAAATAAAAAGAAATGGAAGAGCATCAGCAAACTGGTCTGGGAAAAAAACATCAGCACACATGTTAAGTACAGTTTGTGTGGAGGCCACTGACAGTTTTTTCTGCTGTCATAAGTGATTGAAATGGTATCAGAGCCTTTTGGTCATACACATTTAATTTACGTGCATCTTTTACAAGAACATTTTTTAATGTGACAACAAAGAGGAAAATACAGTACAAAAAAAGTAAGAGCAATAAAAGAGTGAGGTAATTTTCTTTTAATTGAGTGAACCATGTTGGAGTACAAAGGAAGACATGAGCATTTGTGTAGAAAGACACAAGTAAATGAGGGTTTAAAAAAGGGGTCTAGCTAATGGATACATGTATGAGAAATCACTGTTTTCACTTTTCTACAATTCTTAGGATTACAAAAACTTTCTGAAGAAGAAATTGCAGAAAAATATAATGCACTGATATTTTCAGTATGCTTTAGTGGAGCAACTAAATTCAGAGAATTTAAAAGAACACTGGCATTGTATTACATTTATGTGCATTTTAAAGTGAGGACTGAAATACATTTTTACAGAATATCTAGAATCTCCCTCTCCCCCATCCTCTAATTTCAGAGAAGCATGGGTCTCCTGAGATGCCTAGTTGTGCAACTGGCACATGGACCTGATCCTCTGACGAAAGGCAGGAACAGAGGGTGGGACAGACCCGAGCACACACAATACTTTTTTCTTTAACAACTTAAGAGCTTCAAAACTGTCCTGTTAGTTGCCTTTCAAGCAGTATCTATGTGCTTTAACTTCCACATCAAATAGCAAAAACCTTAACTGAGAACTTCTTTAAGTCATATTCAATAGGATATGATTTTTAAAAATAAGGAAATTCACTTTAAATTTCCTTATTTTTAATAAGAAATCTAACCTTTGCATAATAGCTTTGGACTCAGTCCAACCCTCATTCTGTGAATTTCCCGTCTCTTCCCCATCCATATAAATTCAAATTCTATAGTCCTAGCCAGTCATAGCCTACCTCTCTCTTTTGAGAATTCAGATTTGGTAACAGAGACGAATTCACACTGAAGTATTTTCATGTGGTGACAGGTAAACTCGGAAGCTATAGGGGCTTGCACTAAGCACTTTCCAGTCTCACATGAGCACAGCAGCCCTTCTGCCCACAGGCTCCTCAGCACCCCATATCCCCAGAACCCCTCTCCCACTGCAGCAACACTAGCTTGATGTGAGATTCTATTTATTAAAGCCTTGACTTCAACAATTTGAGAATTCAAGAAATACAGAGAAAATTTTGATACAACACCAAACTAGAACCCCAGCCAACAATTAAAAAACTGAAAAATGTAGATATTGACCACGAGATAAAATTTTGGAGATAATCCTCTGACACAGACAACTGTAATATTTACCTTGAGCTGAATCCACACCTAGGAATTGCAATGATGCAATGATTGCATTATTAGTTCAAATTAGCCATTTCTCTTCCTTCTAAATTTCTTCTCCAGGATTCCTTCTTAGAAGAGAAATTTAATTTCCACCCCATAATCTCAAGTTTGCCCATGTGTCTAGCTTTAGCCAATCCAAAATAAAACCTTAGTGACTTGTGGTGTTACCAAGCAGGAACTTTAATTTTGTCTTACAATTCCATTGTGGCTTTCCTTCGTCTTTGGCCACAGAAGAAACAACAGTGTGAAGATACATTTCATATCATCCTTCAATAGACAAGTAGCATGAATAAGAAATAAGTCTATATTATTATCACTAAATTTGGAGTTGATTAGTGCCACAGTATAACCTGACAAAAACTGACTGGTACATGTCTCAAATAGATTTTCATCATAAAAATGCTAATGGATAAAAAGTAAATATTTCATTATGAAGTTCATTTGCTTATTTCTAATAAGCTTATATTTTAAATAAACCCTTTTAAATTTCAAGCAATCATCCTGTTAATGACCTTAAGGATCTTTACACATAATAATTACCAAAGCATAGATTTATTACTTCATCCATTCATCTAAGAATTGCCAAATGTTTATCAAAAGACATATTTCTTCCTAAAAGATATTTCTAAGACATTCTAATGTTAACATATGTATTTTACTAAAATCTGTGGGTACCAAACAACAACGGATAGAAAAGTTCTTACAAATTCTATATTCTTCTTGTATATTGTGAAAACAACTTACTTCTGACTCTTTCAAATAGTACAAACTCAAAAGCAATTGTTAGCATTGGTCCTACTTTCTTTGTTACTTTATACCTAGTGGCCTTAAATTTTATTCAATCCACATAATAATTCTACTTTTATCTAATTATTTTTTTCTTAAAACATATATATATAACATATATAAATATATAATATTGAATGAGATCTTAGTAACTAGAAAGTTATCAAAAAGATTAAATTAAAGATGACAATTCTATACATTTTGTCACTATGATTAGTTCTGCAGGTAAATCATTTTACCTTTCTAAATCAGTGAGTTTTCATCAGAAAAATGAGGATAACTTATCCCTATTGCACAGAATAGGAACCAAATAATACAACATATGTTACAACCTCTTAAAAGTATTATAATTACAGTTAGTTACATTTATATTAACTCAAGGTTCCTTGGGCTGACCAGAGTGTACATACAAAAGGTCCAAATGCAGTTCTATAACATATTGCTTTAACTCCTAACCTAAAAAGCATACCACAGGGTTACAACAGAAGCAGCAAAATTGATGGTTGCAAGTAGTTGCCATAAAACTTGGTATGAAGGTTAAACTGTTGATAAACTAAGTCATGTTGAAGACTATCACTACTTCTGCACTAATTATAACCATTCCCATTACTTCTCCACCATTATAACCACAATAAAATGCATTAATGAGAGAATTTACTCATGCAATTCACTTAATTATTCTAAGTAGTCATTGGATAAAAACTCATTTCAGGAACAAAACCACTTTAATTTCCATAATAATAAAGAGATTAAAAAATGACCCAAATATTTAAATTACATATGCTAGTATTACTGTAAACTTCTCACATGTATTTACTCATTGAATCGTTATAATAATTCTATGAGGTAATACTACTAATTAGTCCATTATTCAGACAAGAAAACTGAGGCACAGATTAAGTTACTGGCCCAAAGTCACTGCTCATAAGTAGCATAAGATTCAAACCCAGGCAGGCAGCGTTGAAATTCCACTTTAACCAAATATTATCATACCTATGCGATTAAAGCAAAAGGAACTGAGAAAAGAAATAAAATGCATTTGTGCCAAGAAATGAAAAACATGATCATTTCATTAGCACATATCAAGTAATCTTTTAAAATAATCCCATTCATTTTAATTATTGAAGTTTCATATTGGTAGAAATCATGTAAATTCATCAAATAACATAAATATTGTTCACCTAAATTCATTACGCCCTTTGCTACATTTTTTTCTTTCATGTCATTTCAATATTAAAAATTCATTTTTACTTCATTAATGGCACTGAGAATTTTAGTCTGCGAGTCAGATTTCATTCTTGATAATGAAACATAGAAAAGTTAAAATCAGGAACACACAAATATAGTAACCATTATACTATATAATAGCTATAGCATCAAAAGCAGATCATTGATACAGCACAGTAGGTCACAGGAATGGACTTGGAATGTACATATAACATGTATTTATTATATCATTTAAGAATGAATATATAATGTGCCAGAGATGTAGCTCAATAGTCACCTGCCTAAGTTTGATCCCCAGTACCGGAAAAATTTTCAGAAAAGAAAGAATAAATATATAAGGGCTGGTGACGTAGCTTAATGTTACAGTGTATGCCCAATGTGCACAAGGCACTGGTTTTGATACCCACCACCACCAAAAAGAAAGATGAAATGTAAAAAAAAATCATTTTATGGGCTGATCTACGTAACATGGGATGGGGACGGGTGCCTGGATTTGGTTTGTGGAGAGGCTGAGAGAGGATTCAGGAGGGCTTGGGACAGCTGTGTGCTGCATGGGGTTGGGTGTCTGTCTGGCTCATACTCAGTACCCATGACCACCTCCCTGTTTTCTGTGCCTTATCTCACTGTTTCAGCTGAGTCCACGTTGTTTACTCTGCTCCTCTCCAAGAAGCTGTCTGTCCCAGTTGGACAGCTCATCTTTGGGACATAAGCCTTTGCCCCACAAACTGTGGAGAGGTCCAAAACCAAGCTGCTTGAGCTGGCTGTCTTGCTGATAGTCCAAGCCTGCCTGCAGCTGGAGGAGCCCCTTATGCACACCCAGTCCTACGGGCCTGCTTCCAGGAGCCTGCAGTGCAGAAGACACCTGAGAGCAGCCCTGGTGAAGGGCTGGACCTGACCCATGGGGTTTAGGAAGAAGCCCTCACTCTTTTGGGTCGTCCAGCCCTGGGGGAGCAGCCTTCCCTATACTTACCTTCCTCTTGTAACACCAGATGGTCGCTCCTTTCAGAGTGGAAACTGGTGGACCACTCAAAGCCAGAACTCCCTGTCCCCACCCACATGGGTCTGTGGTTGGGTGCAGGCTGTCAGAACAGGGACACCACAAGATAGAGAAGTGGGGACCTCCTGGCCACCCAGCACCTTCCCAGCCCATAAGCAAGCACAAAGATGAGACAGAGGACTGTTGGAGCTAAAAGTTCCTTTGGCTGCTCACAACTCAGGTATGCATGTCGTGTGGCAGCTGGACAGCAGAGCCCTACTTGACCACCAGTCCTGGGCACCTGGACCTGCAGCCAGAAAGTGGTTTCTGGCTGCCCCAAGCGACCCCCTCTTTGCATAGGGTTTTCCTCCATTAGTAACTACAGCTGAAACAGACATCCTCCACGTTGTGCACGCTGGTTCTACCTTTGTCCTCCCAAGTTGATACTTGGCATTAGCATGAAACTTGTGGGCACGGGAGGGTTGAGAGAATTCCAACATAAAACATCCTATTAGAATTGTACTTGAGAGATGAAAAAACTCCTGTTGTATTTTGA